ATCCATTCCCACGGGTGCTCCAGCACCATGAATCTCCTTCTCCTGGGCACTTTCCCTCTCTCCTTGTGCAGGATGTTTGAGCTGAGCTGCACTTTGCCCCTGGAGAAGGACCTGAAGGTCACCCTCTATGACTATGACCTCCTGTCAAAGGATGAGAAGATTGGGGAGACCATCATAGACCTGGAGAATCGGTTCCTGTCCAAGTATGGGGCCCGTTGTGGCCTCCCCCAAACCTATTGTGTGTAGGTACCTCAGCCGCTTTGGGGTGTCTGTGGGTGCTTGGGCTGAGGTGACCATGGGGACCAGAAGATGTCTCAGCCCAGGGGGTTGCTGTCCCAGGTGGACCTACCCAGTGCTCTACTTCCCCAAGTCTTGACTCTCCTCCAGAACCATGAGATGCTTCAAATAACCTAAATGTCTCTGGGCACATCCTGTAACATCCCTGATGTCCTCTGGTCACACTGTGGTGAGGACATTGGCCATGCACTGTTGCCCAGAGCAGCTGTGGCTGCTCCACCCCTGGAAGTGTTCCAGGCCATGTTGGATGGGGCTTGGAGCCACCTGGGCTGGTGGGAGGTGTCCCTGGGTGGATCTGGATGGGATTTAAGTTCCTTCCCAATCCAAACCACTTCATGATTCTGGAGCTCCTCTGCCATGGAGCCAGGCTGGGAGAGCTGGGAATGTCCAGCCTGGAGAAGAGAAGGCTTCAGGGAGACCTTAGAGCCCCTTCCAGTGCCTAAAGAGGCTCCAGGAGAGCTGTAGAGGGACTTGGGACAAGGAATGGAGTGATGGGACAAGGGGGAATGGCTTTCCACTGCTAGAGGGTGGAGTTAGATGGGAATTTGGGAGGGAATTCCTGGCTGTGAGGGTGGTGAGGCACTGGCACAGGTTGCACAGAGCAGCTGTGTCTGCTCCATCCCTGGAAGTGTTCCTGGCCAGGTTGGATAGGGCTTGGAGCTGGTGGGAGGTGTCCCTGCCCATGGTGGGTGGCACTGGATGATCTTTCATGTCCTTCCCAACTCAAACCATCCTGTGATTCTGTTTGGTTTCAGCTCTGGCCCCAACCAGTGGAGAGACCAACTCCGACCTTCCCAGCTGCTCCACCTCTTCTCCCTGCAGCACAACTACAAGGCTCCCACCTACATGTCTGACCGAATCATCTTCAGGGATCAGGAGTACATCCTCTCTGAGCTGGGTAAGGTGTTAGAGCCACTTTGGGGTGAGACAGTTTCCTTCATGCAGAGCAAGGGATGAAGCTGGTGGCCATCAAGGCACCGTGAAAGGGTTACTGTGTAGAACAGGACTAAATGATGGGCACATCCACATCACCTCAGGTTGGCTGTGCCCCAAACCCTCAGATTGATCCTAGACCTGCATCTCAGGATGGTGTGTCCTGACCAGGAGCTGCAGTTTGGAATCCCAGACTGCTTTGGGTTGGAAAGGACCTTAAAGGTCATCTTGTTCAACCCCCTGCCATGGGCAGGGACACCTTCCGCTATACCAGGTTGCTCCAAGCCCCATTCAACCTGTCCTGAAACACTTCCAGAGATGGGGCAGCCACAGCTGCTCTGGGCAGCCTGTGCCAGTGTCTCACCACCATCACAGCCAGGAGGAGGGTATCTTCCCAAAATCTAATCCAAACTTTCATTAAGGCTACCACATCTAGGAGGGCTTGGCTGTCAGAAGCACAACACAAGGGACTGATGGACTGATCCCTCTCCCACTCTTGGATAATCAAGGCCCAAATTCCTGGTTCTACCCTGAGCAGGAGGAGGAGGAGGGAAGCAACAACTCCTTTGTCAGAGGCACAAAACAAGGCACAACCCAAGCCTGATCCTTTTCCCTAAGGGAGCATGGAGGCACAAATTCCTGGTTCTCCCCCAAAGAGGAGGAGGAAGAAGAGGAGGAGGAGAAGAAAGAGAAGGGAAGCAGTGACTCCTTTGTTAGAGGCACAACCCAGGAGTGATCCTTCTCCCCCATCTTGGGAATCAAGGCCCAAATTCCTGGTTCTCCCCTGAGCAGGAGAACAATAAGGATCAGGTCCCCTTGTGCCTGTCACCTCCCTCTGCTTTAACCGCAATGACTTCAAGCAGTAGAACAAGGTCTGAAGCTTGACCTGGAGGAGCTCTAGGAAGCAGCTGTGATCCCCACATGGAGTTGGAGCCAATCTGGGGGATAAGTAGAAGCTATTAAACCCCAGAGCAGGACTTTTACAAGCCTCTCCCCAGCTGATTATCCCACAAACTCCACAGTTTGAGAATTAGTTGGGATGTAGCCCAGATGGCTGATGTCAACCATTTTGAGGTGTTGCCAAGCAAGGAGTTGGGATAGATCACCTGGATTTTGCAGGGATGGGACAGGGCTTTGTTTCCAAGATCCTGGAAGGCAACAGGGGTGAGGACCTCCTCCAGCTCCACAATGGCATCTGGAATCATTTAAGGTTGGACTCATGGAGACTTTTAGGCTGGAAAAGACCTTTAAGATCACGGAATCATGGAATCATTGAGATTGGAGAAGATCTCCAAGATCAAGTCCAGCCTTTGACCCATTACCTTGTCAACTACAGCCGAACACTGAGTGCTGTGTCCAAGTTGTTCCTTGAACACCTCCAGGGATGGTGATTCCATCACCTCGCTGGGCAGCTCCTTCCAGTGACAGCTCATTGTGTCCAACCCTCATCACAGAATGGGGTGGGAAGGCAGGAGCAGGCTCAGCCAAGGCCAGGTTGGGCATCCAACATGGATGGATGGATGGATGGATGGATGGATGGATGAAAGCAGAAATGTCAATTATTGAGGTGTTTTGGCAAGATTAGGATCTGGTGTGGATGGGTGAGGAGGTGGAGATGACTTCAGGTCATTATTTATTGTGGCTGTTGTGTGTTGCCCTCTTTCCATGAAGGATCTCAGATATCCTGGTATGAGCAGGGAGGACAGAGTAGGGACCAGGACCAACCATCAGGCTGTGCTGCTGGTGTCTCCATGGTCATCCTCCTGCCCTCCTTTCTGTCTTTTACCTCAAACCCAGCAGAGAAATAGGGCTCTGTCCAGTAGATCCTGGATGGATTTAAACCATGGGATAAACCTCTAGGGGTGGGAATGGCAGCAGGGACACAGCATGGGCTGGGGACCTTCACCCCAATTTATATCATCTTAGTGGGCCTGAATCCTTGAGAAAGGTCAAACCTTGGATTCTCCTTTCAGTTTGGTCCTGGCACTGTTCCACTTCCTGTGGTTTGGGGGGTTGCATGACCCCAACCTCTCTCAGAGCCTTGACAGAACCCAAACCTCAATGTCTATGATCCCAGCCTCTCCCAGAGCCTTGATACCACCCAAACCTCAATGCCCATGATCCCAGCCTCTCCCAGAGCCTTCCCAGCAGCCATTCTAACCCCTTCCCTATGACTAACTGTGTTCTTTGCCCCATGGCAGAGGATGGCAAAGCCCCAAACCCCCACTTGGGGCCAGTGGAGGAGCGACTTGCCCTGTGTGTCCTGAGGAAACAGGGGCTGGTGCCGGAGCATGTGGAGACCAGACGCCTCTACAGCCCTCTCCAGCCAGAGATCGAGCAGGTGGGTGGTGTCACATGGCCAGGACAAACCCAGGAGCATCATCTCCTTTGGATCCAGAGCTATCCATGGGGCTGTGGGGTCATGCTGGGATGTCTTCTCCCGGAGATGAGACATTCAGTGTGTGGGATGGAGCTATCAAACATAGACTGGAACTCAAATCCATCCATGGTTGTCTTGCTCAAGGTCCTTAGGGGTATCAATTCCATCCTCCTGGATTCATTTCCATCAGCTTTTCCTCACATTTATCCATTTAATTTAGTTTCATTCCATTTTATGTTACATTTTGGTGGAAAAAAACATTTCAGATCTAGAAGTCATAGTGCAGAACTCTCACAGAGCTCTGGAAGTGTCCCAGGTCAGGCTGCTTGAGGCTTGGAGCAAGCTGGGCTGGTAGAAGGCATCCCTGTCCATGCCTCATCCCTGGGAGCATTCAAGGCTATGGAGATGCTCCAAGGGCTGCAGAACCTCTGCCATGGAGCCAAGCCAGGAGGGCTGGGAATGTCCAAGCTGGACAAGGAGAGGCTCCAGGGGAGACCTTAGAGCCCCTTCCAGTGCCTAAAGGGGCTCCAGGAGAGCTGTAGAGGGACCTGGGACAAGGCATGGAGGGACTGGACAAGGAGGGAATGGTTTCACCCTGGAAAGGGGGAGGTTAGGGTGGGATACTGGGAAGGAATTCCTGGCTGTGAGGGTGTTGAGGGTCTGGGATGGAATTCCCAGAGCAGCTGTGGCTGCTCCATCCCTGGGAGAGTTCCAGGCCAGGTTGGATGGGGGGTGGGGCCACCTGGGCTGGTGAGAGATGTCCCTGCCCATGGCAGGGTGTGGGACTGGATGATCTCTAAGGTCCCTTCCTGCCCAAACATTCCATGATTCGATGATTCTCAGAGGGCTGGAACAAAATAGTCTGTTAAGTCCTTTCCAACCCAACCCATCCCATGTCTTTAGGAGTGTCCATGGAGGTGCTGCTGTGTCCAGGGGCTGAACCTGGGTGGCTCAGTGCATGTGGCATTCAGGACAGTCCCCAAAATGTTGGCTCTGAGACAACTGAAAAACACCCCCTGAGGGCTCAGTTGCCTTCCTGCTGCTCTCCCTGGAAGGGCTGGTGAAGAAGTAGTTTCTCCTCTCCTCATCCCATCCTCCACTTCCATGGTCAGAAACCCATCAGCCAGCTCTCCAGCTAGTGAGAACTGGTGACACCATGGGCTGCTTTGCGTCTCCAACACCTTCCATGGACCCAGACCTCAGTCTGTCTCCATGGAAAGGTATTCAGCCATGATGAAGAAACCCTGAGTGAACCTTCAGCTTATCCACACCAACCACCTGTAGCCCAGAACCATGGAATCATTGAGGTTGGAAAAGACCTCTGAGGTCATCAAGTCCAAGCTGTGACCCATCACCACCTTGTCAACTAGACCAGAGTACTGAGTGCCATGTGCAGTTGGTCCTTGAACATCTCCAGGGATGGTGACTCCCCCACCTCTCTGGGCAGGCCCTTCCAATGCCTGACAGCCCTTTCCATGCCATGAAGAATCCTGGTGTCCAACCTGAACTTCCCTTGGAGCACCTTGAGGCTATACCCTCCTGTCCCTTATTCCCAGAGAGCAGAGCCCAACCCACCCTGGCCCTTAACAGCTTCATTCCCTCCTCTGGACACACTCCAACCCTTCACTGTCTTGTCATGAGGGGAACCAAAGAACTCTTCTAGCCCCATCATGAGCCACCAAAATGTTCTTCAAGGCCCAGCACAGGACTTGGTAGCCACCTCACTGAGAAGCTGCAGGTGACCCAGTTTGGAGGCTCCTGAGGCTTCATGGCTCTTTCTTTCCAACCAGGGAAAGCTACAGATGTGGGTGGATTTGTTCCCCAAATCCCTGGGACAGCCTGGGCCTCCTTTCAACATCTCTCCACGCAAAGCAAAGAGGTAACTCCTCATTCCTTACTCATGGTTGTGGTGACTCCATCACCTTCTCTTCATGAGTTGGGAGGGCTTGCAGGTCTCAGATGGGGAAGGATCCACCTGCCTGGCTGAGGAACACCTCAGGAGAAGATGCCTCATGTCTGAACATCTCCAGAGAAACACCTTGAGTGGACATCCAGGCTGTCCAGTTGGGCTTGGGACCAAGTTTCCACCTTCTCCATGTTGCTTTTTTTGGGGTTCTCCAGATTCTACTTGCGCTGCATCATCTGGAACACAAAGGATGTCATCCTTGATGACCTCAGCATCACTGGGGAGAAGATGAGTGACATCTACGTCAAAGGGTGAGTCACCTCATTCCTGTGTCACTCAGGTGCCATGGCCAGAGGTGCAGGAGCAGCAGTGAAGGAGTTTAGATGGTCAGGGAAGAACTGTTTGGAGGTCAACAAGGGCAAAGACAGGGACTAGATGATCTTTAAAGGTCCATCCCGACCCAAGCCATTCCATGGTTCCATGATTCTGTGCTTCTCAGGCTGCTGCCACCAGCACTGGTTCATCTCCCAGCACTGATGGGACTTACATTCCCTCTGAGGTCTCGTCTGAAGTCCAACCGGAGACCAGCCACAGGGATGAGGGACACTTTATCCCCTGCAACTTTGAGTGAACTCCCAAATCCATGATTTCCAGTTTTACATGTGCTGTGTCTGCCCTTTTCAGCTGGCTGGTGGGGCATGAGGAGAACAAGCAGAAGACAGATGTGCACTACAGGTCCATGGGGGGAGAGGGAAACTTCAACTGGAGGTTCATCTTCCCCTTCGACTACCTCCCAGCTGAGCAGATGTGTTATGTGGCCAAGAAGGTGAGTGACCCTGGGAGGAGGTTTCTACCTTCCTGAAGGAATTCTGGAGTGGAATTGGGATCTAAGACCTCCCCAAATGGAGCTGTGCCATCTCAGCCTTTCCATGGTGTTGTTCGAACCACAAAGTTGGGAGAAACCTGTTTAAAATCCAAACTTTGAAGACGTTTTTGGGGTTGGACTTTGAAGTGGGTTTGGATAAAGGGTTTGGAGAGGTTGATCCCATCAGGAAAGACTCCTCTGGGCTGGAGCAGGATGGATGTTGGTGCAGTGGTGTCTAAGTGCTCTCCATGTGTGATGGGACTTCTGTATTTCCCACTTAACCACAGGATTACTCCAAAGATGGCTATGGCATTCCCATGGGGATGGGTTGGAGAGCACCTCTGGTCTGCAGCGTGGTGTGGCACTGGTCAAGGACTTTACAGAGAGACTAAAGAGGGGGAAAGGAAGGAGCTTCCTCCACTTCCTTGAAGGGATAATCAGAACGTGGCTTGGGATGTGCCATTGATGAGAAGCAAAGTTTTGGGCTGGGCTTTAGGGTAAAGGTTGGTCCCACAAGTAAGGTGTGTCCTGGGATGGGGAGTTAGAAATGGATTTTGGACTCCTCATTCCTTCCCCTCCCCTTGATCCTCGTGTTCCTTGGATCAGTTAGGTTCATTGCTGCTGCTGTAAAAAGCTCCCAGAGATGACTTCAACCACCTCCTGGAAAGTGGAATTTCCATCAAAACCTCTCCCATGGCCAATTGGGAGCTGCTAAAAGCCACCTGTGCCCCTGTCTGGACCTTGAAGAGAGGGAAACAGCTTTCCATCTGCTCTCCTGGGTTTGCTCCGTGCTGGAGATCCTGTTAGTGTGGCAGGATGGGGCAGGAATCATGGAGTGGTTTGGGTGGGAAGGAACTTAAAGATCATCTAGTCCCACTCAGGGACACCTCCCACCAGCCCAGGTGGCTCCAAGCCCCATCCAACCTGGCCTGGAACACTTCCATGGGTGGAGCTGCTCTGGGCAACCTGTGCCAGTGCCTCACCACCCTCACAGCCAGGAATTCCTTCCCAATATCCCACCTCACCCTGCCCTCTGTCAGTGGGAAGCCATTCCCTGTGTCCTGTCACTCCATGCCTTGTCCCAAGTCCCTCTTCAGCTCTCTTGGAGCCCCTTTAGGCACTGGAAGGGGCTCAGAGTTCTTTCTGGAGCCTTCTCTTCTCCAGGCTGGACATTCCCAGCTCTCCCAACCTGGCTCCATGGCAGAGGGACTCCAGAATCATGGTATGGTTTTAGTTGGAAAGGACTTCAAAACTCCAGCCAGACCCACCCAGGGACACCTCCCTCTAGACCAAGCCCCATTCAACTTGGCCTAGAACACTTCCAGTGATGGAGCATTCCCATAAACATGGGAAAGATCTCTGAACTTGGCAGCTCAGGGTGATATTAGCAGCAGATTTCCTGGGATACCACATCCAACTCCAGCATTCCCCTGTGCTGAGAAGGAAAACCTTGGGGAGAGGTAGAAAAGTGGCTTGAGATCCAAGGAATCCACCACAGTGTGAGCTGCCAGGAAAGCTCCAGGCTCTTCCTTCCCATATCCACATCCATGGTTAGCAAACAAATTCCAGAGCCACAGGATTCAAGGGGGTGGGACAAGTGTTTGGGAGTCTCAGGGTGACCAACTAGAGCCAAACTGGTGGTGGCAGCAGATCAGAGCCTTGGTGGAGCCACACTTGGGCAGGACAGGGAAGAAGGATAAGGATGAATGGGAATTCCCTGCCCTAGGTACTGATTTAAGTGTAAATCCCAGATTTTTCCCTGAATTCAGAGAAAGGAATGGGTTGGCTTCAGTGGGAATCAACACCACCTCACCTTGGAGTGCCACCCTGGTGGAAATCCTGGGAATGTGATGCTGTCACTCCAAGAATTCCTATTTCCAAGCTTGTGGCAGATACTTGCTAACATACTGACACTAAATTGATACCAACTCAATTCAGAGGAATTTAGGGATTCCAATGAACATCCTCATCCAAGAAGTGGCCAGAGGTCTGATCCTATGGCTCTGCAGAACCAGAGGACACACCAAGAGCAGAAGGTTACAGGATTCCATGGGATCAGACTTAACAAGGGTCTTCCCACTTCCACCAACAAACCTTTCATTCCCCCTTGGATTCTTTCCCTGTGTGATTTTAGGAGCATTTCTGGAGCTTGGACAAGACAGAGAACAAGATTCCACCACAGCTCATCTTCCAGATCTGGGACAATGACAAGTTCTCCTTTGATGACTATTTGGGTAAGTTGGTGATGGATTTGGGCTCCATCCCTGTTGAGCCAGGCAGGAAGAGAAACATCACTGTCACAGGCTGTCCAGGGAAGCTGTGGCTGCTCCATCCCTGGAAGTGTTCCAGGCCAGGTTGGATGGGGCTTGGAGCCACCTGGGCTGGTGGGAGGTGGCAGAGTGTGGAATGAGATGATCTGGATGGTCCAAACCCCCTGAGATCAGGAGGTGCCACAGTGCCTATTTCCTCAGGGGAAGAGTCCATGCTTTAAGAACCTATAGCACCAAAATGTCCTACCTGTAACATTTCTCCTTGCAGGCTCAATTCAGATGGATCTCAACAAGATGCCCAAACCTGCCAAGACAGCTGAGAAATGCTCCTTGGAGCTTCTAGATAATGCTTTGTCCTCCAGTCGCTTCGTGTCCCTCTTTGAGCAGAAGACAGTCAAGGGCTGGTGGCCATGTGTGGCTGAGCAGGAGCAGAAGAAGATTCTGGCGGTAAGGTGGTCCCTCCACGGGTCCTCTTGGATCTTCTAATCCAGGAGAGGAACTGTCCTGTGAGGAGCTGCCTCAAATGGGAGTGGTTGGAGGTCACACCAGGGTTTGGCCACTCTGGAATCTTCCTGGAGAAGAACTTATTGGCTGTTTAGGACTTTCAGATGAGAATCTTGCATAAATTGACTGAGAATAGAGGGGGAAATGGTCTTTTAGAACTGTTGCTCATCCCCGGGAACATTCGTGGCAATGGAAATGCTCCAAGGACTGGAGCAGCTCTGGCATGGAGCAGGACTGGGAGAGCTGGGAATGTCCAGCCTGGAGGAGAAGAGGCTCCAGGGAGATCTTTCAGCCCCTTCCAGTGCCTAAAGGGGCTTTAAGAGAGCTGGAGAGGGACCTGGGACAAGGGATGGAGGGACAGGACAAGGGGGAATGGCTTCACCCTGGAAAGGGGGAGATTTGAGTGGGATATTGGGAAGGAATTCCTGGCTGTGAGGGTGGTGAGGCACTGGCACAGGTTGTTCAGAGCAGCTGTGGTTGCCCCAGACCTGGAAGTGTTCTAGGTCAGGTTGGATGGGGTTTGGAGCCACCTGGGCTGGTGGGAGCTGTCCCTGGGTGGAACTGTGTGGGCTTTAAAATCCTTTCAACTCAAACCATTCCAGGATTCCCTGAAAGCTTTGAGGAAGAAGGTCCTGGGCCAAGGACATGCAGGATGCCACAGTCAGGGCAATTAGTCCTGTTTGGAGCTGTATTTTCAGGATCCACTTCATGCCTTCCTCATTGTCCTTCTTATTCCTTTTTGGGCTTGGCTCACACCAGATGTTCTT